AAAATCCAATTCAATTCTCAAATTCAAAACCCAAAAGCATCCGGGTTTGAATTCAATTCATCTTCTAATTGAGTGAAAAGCAAAATATGTATGAGTCCGTGATTGAGGGGAAATTCGGGGATGGCAGTGATGAACATCACCGCCATAAATTCTCCGAAAAAGAATTTACATTGGGATGAATTAGGAGTGGCTTACCTGAGAGGAGAATTCGGATTGAAGATGAAGAAAAAGCCTTTTTGAGTCACTGTCTGCTCCAACAAAAAATTGGGTAAAATTCTCTTTCCTTTTCTATTTCCTTCTTTCGGTTTCGGTTTCTTTTTTTTTTTTCAATTTGATTTCTTTCTAGTATTTTGAACTCGATTTTTCCAGATCGATTTTTGGATTGAATCCCCCTCTTGTTTGTGCTTTTTGCTACCCCTTTATATATATATAAGTGAATTGTTGTGCTCCTTTGATTTTCGGATTGCCTTTTGTCCGATTCCCCTTTGATTCGTTTGTTCATTGGCGATTGCGCATCTATGTATGTTTGGTTCCCTACTTGTGTTGAGTGGGATTTTTCTTGTAGGTATGGTGTGTGTAGTCCTTGTTGAAGTAGAGTATCGGCCTCCTTAAATTTTCGAAACCCCTTCCCTTTTTCTTTGAATTGTATATATATATATTATTTTCCACCATGATGGTGGGAGATTTTGCGAGCTATGGAGTGTGCCAATGTGGCCATTTTGTTGCAGGGGATGGTTGTGGCGTGGTCGGTAATAGGGGAAGGTTGTGCATTTGTTGTAAGTTGTAGCATGGTGAGGCTATAGGAATTAAGGGATTGCACTTGGAGATTGTTAGATATGGGGGAAGTTGTCCGTAGGGACTGTGGGAGTTGTAGTGAGGCTGCCTGGAGGCACTCGTGGAGGTTGTGAGGTCGTGGGGGCTAGCGGGAGAGGGTTGGGTGACGATGCAGTTGTTGGAATTTGCGGTAGTAGGGTGGTCGGCGGTGTAGAGGGGTGCCGAGATTGTTGACTTGAGAGGAGTTAGGCACTCGCAAGTTGATAATTTTTCTTTCTTTTGTTTTTTTTTATTTTTTTTGTAATTTTGCCATTTTGGTCCTTGAAAATCGTTACTAGGTCAACTTAGTCCCCGTGTAATGTATTCGACCCTCAAACTTTGAATGATTCAATTGTACCCTCAATGAATGTAATTATTTGGAGTTTACTACAATTGCATTCTTGAATATTAAATTTACATTATTTTTGTTTTTTTTGTTTTTTTCTTTTTGCAACTTTGTTAATTAAAATGGAATAAATGAAAATGATAACGAGTGGTTAAGATAAGAAAAATGAAAAAAAAAACTAAAAATGAAATAAAAGAAAATAAATAACTAATTATAAAAAATTCAAAAAAAAAAAACTCTGAAATTTTGATTATGACAACGGTCATGGAAACTTATAGGAAGAAAAATTCCATTTTGGTAACCATTTTTTATTCTATGAGATCTCATGATAAATAACTTTTTCTCATGCACGTGTTCATGGAGTTGGTCAAAAAGAAGGAGAAGAAAGAAGGGAATGTCTTAAAGAATAAAGATAAAGATAGCATACAGTCCATTTGCCTCTACATGGGGCTTGAAAGATTATATCTGGTGGAATGCAAGGATCAGAAGAATCTGGAATTTTACAGTCATGGGGTTATCTGAGGTGAACATGGCCCATCATTCACTGCTTCTTGTGAAAAGATCTTCACTTTTGAATTTTATGAGGTATTTTGATTATTGAGTTCAATGGGGTTATAGACTTCAAAGTAAAGTAATTTTATCTTGATATATTTGGGGCATAAAATCTTTGAAATGGGACCAACTGAATATTGCGTTCTTGTAGAAAATTTGATCTTACTTTCTCATATGTTTTATCTTTTAGCCTTTAGTCCCTGATCCAATGTGATTTATGATGTGCATCAAAATATGAATTTTCTGTAGATAAGAACAGGTGCAACAGAATTTCTTTTTCAGAACCCAATTTGCACCATAGAAATGGTCAAATTCAGAAGGTTATTTCATGAGAATTTCCACATGCATGAAAATAAAACACATCCTTAGGCTCGTGAATAATGCTTCTTGGATTTAGCTGACACATTACATGCGTCTTTATTCTCTCTGGACCACCATATTCGAAATTTTCTTCAAAAAAAAAAAAATAAATAAGAAGAAGAAGAAGAAGAAGTTATTTTAGGTACCTGCATGTCTTGTATGAATGCTAAAAATGTGTTGCATTAGTGGTGCATGCTCTAAGTTCACGAACACTGCCTGGAACAATTTCGTAAAGCATATCCGCACATTTCCCTTCCTAGAAGATGTTCTATGACAAATCTTTTACTTTCCTTTTTTGTTCTGAATCTACTTCAAGAACTTACAGACAGACACGTTGAAGTTTAGTGACATCGATTGACTAATGCATTAGATACTCATATAACTTTGAAAAGTCACTCGATCATCATTTTTTTTTTTTTAATGTTTTTTATGCAGTAAGTTGTTTGCTAGATTATTAAGATAAACATGGGTGATTCCCCAAATCTGACAGAATTCAAAGGGTGGCAAAAGCTATATTTCTGCCCTTAAAGAGCATAAATTCGTCACCAGCGAAATTTCAAACTTGAATCTTCTTTCTTTTGTAGAACAATATGAAGGTGAATCATCTGCACTTTGACTTTATTTTTATTTGCTGTTAATTGGAGGAGATAAAATTTATTTCATTAATGAAGACTAGAAATGTGAAAACAGAAGGCAATATTCGGAAGCATACAAAGAATAAAATTTCAAGAATGTGCTTCTTTAACGCATGCTCAATACTTCTCCCTGCCCTTTAATTTCCTGTTATCCTTATCTTTTTCCTACCAGGGAATATTTAGTAAGGTGAAGGAACGTGCTTAAACAGTAAAGCTAAAATGGTCTCGTTAGGAAAAAAGTTCAACTTGCAACACTGATTTGAGAAGGATTTGCTCTCAGTTCCTGTTTAAGATCTTACCACAAAAATACAGTATTATTTGACAAGTATCGGTTTTAGTCTATGGGAAGAACTTTGCAACACTAAAAAAAGCAGAGATCTCAAACTAGAGTTTTCAATAATGAAATGCCTAAAATATTTATGTCGTTATCTTTTATGTCCATGTCAACTATCTGTTTTAATGGTTTACCATGTCCATATGGCAACTGCATCACTAACCATAATGTCATTGTCTTCTATCCCCAAGGCGGCTATACAAGCGATCTAAATTCCATCAGAAGATCACAACAGACGGATTTGCACAAAAGGAGTTGGAAGATGCAAATTTGGAAGTCAGAGAGTCAAAAGTTAGATAAGAAGATTAGAGGATATTTGGTGCATAAAGTTTACCGTCCAAAATCAACTCAAGATAGCAGTGAACCAATTGCCATATCAATAACAACGAAATTTCTAACTTCGAGATTTAGTTGCAGCAGTAGATATGCATGTAGATCACCTGCTATACACGAGCTTGGATTCTCAAATTGCTTTGCTTGCTAACTTTCTTTCGTGTGAAGAAACCTTGTACAATTAGGTGGTGATCTGATGGCTTCTATATGTAGCAGTGAACCCTGATGTGTTTGTCTTGTTTTGGTTCAGGGGTCTGGTTTCTTGTTCCCCTAACATGGATAAGGCTAGTTTGTCCCTCTTGTATTTATTATTATTTTTTTTAATCAATAAAATTTATTAGGGTTAGGCCTTGTTCACTAAAAAAATAAATTGATAGTCATTTGTAATTCTGCTACCTAGAAATTTGATACAATGGGCTGAAGCAACCAGCAATAACATCATGAGAACAAAGAATATGGAGATGATTCGCCTTCAAAATTGCATTTTACTGTTTTCGTGGGATTTTAGAGATTTTTCCTATTTAATTTCGGGTTTTTAGTGTTTGTTTTCTTTTTAAATTTCTTTAGAGTTTTGATCAAAAATTTATTATTTATGTAAGACTTCTAGGCTGAAATACGTCACTTTTGCTTGATTAATAAAATTTTGTTAGAGAGTATCTTAGTTTTTTCAATTCTCGATATTCTTTGAATCAATGAATTTGAAGTGTATGATCGGTATTTGGATTTCGGATCAATGGTATTTATCTTTTTCTTATAAGTTTTCACTACGTTAATAAGGGTGGTTTATCCCCACTTGGTTTTTTTTTTTTTTTTATCAATAAAATTTGTCGGGGTTAGGCCTCGTTCGCTAAAAAAAGAAAAAAAATTATTGATACTCATTTGTAATTCTGCTACCTGGAAATTTCATACAATGGGCTGAAGCAACCAGCAATAACATCACGAGAACAAAGAATGTGGAGAAGTGCAAAATTAACAGAATAATTGAAAGAATAAACTAGGAAGCTGTGTCACAAGTTTGACTCCGTAGCATTCATTTCTTAATGGAGGAGATTCCTTTCTTCTGAACCATGTTTGATGTTGAGCAAGTTGATTTCCAGTATCTTCCCTATTTACAATGAAGAATTCAGACATTCACATGATTTTAACTATCCAATAACAAAAGTCGAATTGTAATGCAAGTTGTGCCCTTCACGCTTCTTCAAATGGTATATTGAGTGGATCGATAAGAATAAGATTTCCCTCAAACGTTGGCTCATGTTGATCAACTATAGCAGCAAATTTCTGATAGGAAATTTCTTGATGACAGTGACAGTCATATAATTCTAGTTGGAAAAATTACACGTTCTTTAATGTTATAACTAAGATATCAGAAAGTGGTACTTAAAAAAGTTGGAAAGTATGAGTTCCTACGTACGTGATGTGCGAATCTAAGTGATGTCATAGCATGAGTTCAACCATCTGCCTCTTTGTCAGATAAAAAGAAAGGGAAGGTTCCCTCACCATTGACAGCTTTAACCTTGACCTAGCCTCTCACTTTCTATATAAAGAGACTTCGATCAGATTTCTAGCAGAACATACCAGATAGTCCATTCCATATCCCAGTACTCCTAGTAAGAGAAGAAAAAGAATGGCTTCCATTTCCTTCGATCCCAGAATTAACAGTCAAATGAGCAAGAACTCTCATGGAGCAATCATTGAAGAAATTGAAGGACTCATCAGAGTTTACAAAGATGGACACGTCGAAAGGCCTCCTATCATTCCTAATGTTCCTTGCAATGTGGCGCCAACAAACGATGTGTCAGCAAAAGATGTCGTTATCGATAAGTTCACTAACTTGTGGGCACGCATTTACGTCACAAACCGCTCAGGCATGCTGCCTTTGCTTCTTTACTTCCATGGAGGTGGATTTTGTGTTGGTTCGGCTGCTTGGAGCTGTTACCATGAGTTCTTGGCCAATCTTGCTTCTAAAGCAGGCTGCATCGTTGTATCCGTAAACTACCGACTAGCCCCAGAAAATCGTCTCCCTGCTGCTTATGATGACGGCATCAGCACCTTCATGTGGGTAAAACAGCAGGCTCTAAATGGTTCTCCTGAGCATAAATGGTGGTTAAGTCGGTGCAATTTCTCTAGCTTATTCCTAGCTGGTGACAGTGCTGGTGCGAACATAGCTTACAATGTGGCCACAAGGCTGGGATCCAGCTGCAATCCTGAGTCCATGACAAAGCCTTTGTGCCTCAAGGGTATCATCTTGATCCAACCTTTCTTCGGAGGAGAGGCGCGAACATTGTCCGAGAAAAATATGACCCAACCAGCTAACTCAGCACTGACTCTATCGGCTTCAGACTCATATTGGCGGTTATCACTGCCTTCAGGATCTAGCCGTGATCATCCATACTGCAACCCTTTAGCAAATGGAGCAAGCAAGTTGCGGGATCTACGACTTCCAGCGATACTGGTTGGCATATCCGAGTTGGATATACTTAAAGACAGAAACTCAGAATTTTGTTCTGCCTTGGCTAGTGCTGGTAAGAGAGTGGAAACAGTGATGTACAAAGGAGTTGGCCATGCATTTCAAGTTCTACATAATTCTCATCTATCTCAAATCCGCATTCCAGAAATGGTGTCCCATGTCAAGGCTTTCATCAACCACTGACAAAAGGATCGCGTTCCGTGTTTTCTTCTTCTAGTAATGTCCAAATTATTTGAAACAATTTATTGTGTCATAACGATAAGATTCATGTGTTCATAAGATACGTATTTTAATACATGTATGTATATATATATATATATATATATATATATATATATTAAAGTCTTTGCTTTCTCTGTCTCATGATCCTCTTCAAGCTGGTTTTCCGCTACTTTCTGTTTGTTATGCGAAAGTCAAAATGTGGTACGGATATATCCATAACCTTGCTTTTGCTTTTGGAAAAAAGCTCTAATTTACTATTTTTGACTCCTAGCACGACGGCGGATTATTCAGTAGTACAAATTGAGTGGCATTGATCTCAAAGAACAATCTTTTTTTAAAAAAAAAAAAAGAGAGAGAGAAAAAAGGACCTATAACGGTGTTTCTACAAAAGGAATATACTCTTGATGTAGAAAAAATTTAGTCATGCATCGAAGGATCATTTTTTCTGGCATATTATATATTGACAACCATGAAACCTTTGTTGGATGACTAAAGTACAGCAGCTTCTCAAAACACTGCATGCGAGGAAAATAGAATAGAAGTCTAGATGTTTAAAATAGTATTTGCACCGATCAAGAGATGTCTGGAGAATCATATATATATATAATATGGCCAATGATATCACTACTGTCTATAAACATGAGTATATCAAGAGATGGAGCAATGGAATTAGTCATTAACATGCAATACTTCTAAGTTGAAGCTTCATTCCTTCCCACTTGTGTCGCATGAAAGTTGCAGTGATATGCAAAGATAGCGAACTCTTTCTTTTCTTATTTTTAACCAATGACAACAATAATTGATCAGAAATCCCTCTCGATTGATATAATTTATCCCTGTGATTAGGAAGCATTGGCCATAGAAACATATATCAAATTGTCAACAGGAGCATTAAAGAAAAATATTTTCAAACTTTCAATGACATTGATGATTGATCATTTCTCCCTCTCCAAACAGATAGTATTCAAGCATTCAATGAGGGAATGCAACTCTTTCACACACCAACTAGCCAAACAAGGAATCTCTAGAGACCGCAATGTTGTTGCTTGGCTATGACACCCACCTGATCTTTTGCAGAATAAAACAGCTTTTGGTCAGACTAAAAAGAAGAGCTTCTCAGCTAGCCCTTATGGGTCTTGATTGCTTTCCAATAACCTTGGGTTAATTAGGGTAAACCTGTCCTGGCCTCTTTAAGCAGGTCCCCATCATGGCATTTCTGTTCAGCTCTTCCATTACATTTCACAGTTTGATGGCTTTGAAATTTCGTTTGTTCTATGCTTGTTCTGTTGCTCATCCTGGTTTTATTATTGCAATTGTCTTCGCAGTTAATTTTAACACTTCGTCAAATCAGATTTCATCCATTTGTTCTCGTGCATTTTACCAAATCACCAACACTTGTTTGAGGTTCCTTCACTTGATCCTCTAAAGGCAATTATCAAGAATTGATTGCTTGACGTGTTGTATAGAGACTATAGCATGCAGCTGGTTTCCATCAGTTGCTTCAAGATCAGTTGCAGGGCCGTCTGCTAACCTGTTCCCATTTGATTGTGACAAATTATTTCTGATGACACTATAGAGATATAGTAGCTATCGAACAGGTGGTTTCCATATATTTGCATCAGTGGATGCTGATTTTGCAGCTGTACATATTTGGCTGAAATTAGTTTTAGTCTTCTAAAGAAAACAGGAATATCAGATTTGAAAGTTTACAGATCTTCCAATTTCTGTGACCGCATAGAATGCCCTTTCACTTTGGGTCTTGAATCCATGGACAACTACACTTCAGCTTCTACTTGGTGGTATGCTGATCAAAACCTTGATTGGTCTTTAAGACGTGAATCTTTCGGAACTAGAACTGTATTCTAAATTGTGCCAGCATGGTTTAAGGACTAGTTGTTTCTGCTTTTCTGCTGCTTTGTGGGTTAGCATTTTGTGCTTTGCTGCTGTAATTTTGGTTTTGGATCCTTGTGGAGCTCCTTTTAATAATTTGACTAGGACAACTATTATGCCTGATTTTCATATTAGTGGTGAAAGTGGTCATGAACCTACTCGAGTGAGATTGGGTTACCGTGTACTGAACCATTAACATCCTTTTGTCACAATTTTAGAGAGCTTTTGTTTTATTGAAACGAGCACATCACATAGGACTAAATCAAATTATAAGTCAAACTCATTAAATTAAGGCTTCATTTGTATCTGGTTAGAGCTACTATAGATGGTTGATAAAGAAATCTAATTTCTGGCTGGGGATTCCAGCTGAGAAATTTGCTCAAAAGTGAGAAACAGATAGAATAAAAAAGCAGATAAGGTGATAAGGGATATTTGATGAATAAAGTTTACTGCCAATTTGCAGGTACTTTGAAGTTAAAAGGGAAGCACTTTCTCAACCATTAGTCCATTCAAGTCTGTAGAGACAGTGTTAAGATATGATAAAAGGATCCGTCTATGTCGGTCATGTGAAGAATTCTAATTAATGGGAATGGTGAACATGAATTTTTTAGCTCAATTTTCCTGTTCAGTGCGCAAGTCTTAGTCTGCCGAATGCTTGCCTGTGTTATCTTCCCCCTACAGATTGCCCCCACTTGACCAGCATATTGTATATTTTCACTATGGAAGGTTAATGGCAATGTAAATATCTTGACAAAAATTAGAGGCCAGCTACCATGGGTTTAGATTCTTTGCGAGTATATATTGAAAGAATCATTGGAAGGACTCACTCTTAATTAAGCAGCTTCGTGCCAATTTCTTGTTTGGAGTCATATAAGCATTGATGAGGATCTATTTAAAAGGGATTCCTTAACTAACTATGTATATTTGAAGAATACAGTCTCTGACATGATCTGAGTTTCGAAGATTCACTCGATCATGTAGGTGTGTGGACCATGGTATCCTATCAAGGAATCAAATCCTTTGCAAGTTGTATCGTTGGGTCATATTCAAATGGTATAGCTGCAACTGCTTAAAGGATCCCATTTGCTAAGAATAACATTTCCTAAAGAAGTTGCCTCGTGATCGAAGATATTATAGCAAAGTTTATATCTTGTTCGATGTCAATAGTAGCACTGTTAATGATATGCAGAATGAGATATGGTGATTCTGCGGAAGAGCTGAAAAGTAAGTCTTAGGAAAGAATCCACCTGTGATGACATATGGTGAGTAAGATTCCCACTTGTTAGATGAAAACAATAGGGAAGCTTCCATCAGCTTTGAATTTTTCTCTTTGTTAATCTGCTTCTCTTTTATATAAGGAGACTTCAGAACCACAACAGGCATGACAAACAATCCATTCTATACTACTCATTATATGGGAAGAAGTGGAATGGCTGCTTTTTACTCCAATCCAAGAATAGACCTTCAAGATTGCAAGAAGACTCATGGAGTATCTGTTAAAGTCGAAGAAATTGAAGGACTCATCAGAGTTTACAAAGATGGACACATTGAACGGCCTCTGATCATTCCCAACGTGCCATGCACTTTGAAAGCCGAAACTGGTGTGGCAGCAGATGATGTTGTTATTGATAAATTCACTAACTTATGGGCTCGTATTTACATCCCAAGCAGCCCCGGCAAACTGCCTTTTCTTGTTTATCACCACGGAGGTGGATTTTGTGTTGGCTCCGCTGCTTGGAGCTGTTATCATGAGTTCTTGGCCCATCTTGCTTCTAAAGCAGGTTGCATGATTATGTCCATAAACTACCGTCTAGCTCCGGAAAATCGTCTCCCTGCTGCTTACGATGATGGAATCAACGCCCTCAAGTGGGTAAAACAACAGGCCCTGAATGGTCCTCTCAAGCACAAATGGTGGCTGAGTCGGTGTGATTTCTCAAGATTGTTCCTAGCTGGTGACAGTGCTGGTGCAAACATAGCATACAATGTGGCCGCATGGGTAGGGTCGAAGAACCATCCTGAGTCCATATTAAAGCCATTGTATCTCAAGGGTATCATCTTGATCCAACCTTTCTTTGGAGGAGAGGCACGAACTTCTTCCGAGAAAAATACAATTCTACCAGCCAATTCAGCATTGACTCTTCCAACTTCTGATACTTTTTGGAGGCTGTCACTACCTTTGGGAGCCAATAGAAACCATCCATACTGCAATCCTTTAGCTAATGGTGCAACCAATTTGCACAATTTGCAGCTACCAGCTACAATGGTATGCATATCGGAGATGGATATTCTTAAGGACAGAAACTTGGAATTTTGCACTGCGTTAGTCAGTGCCGGTAAGAGGGTGGAAACAGTCCTGCACAAAGGAGTAGGACATGCATTTCAAGTTTTGCATAATTCTCAGGTCTCTCAAACCAGGACCCAGGAAATGATATCCCAGATCAAGTCTTTTATCATCAACAAATAACAAATGGAATGCATCCGTGTGTCTCTATATCTGTGCAACTAGCTATTTCTTTTCCCTGTAATTTGTGAATGAATGGATTGTTTTTTAAAATCTAAAAACAATAGTCTTGTAATTATTTACTTGCCCTGTAGAAGTTTCTTCCTACCTATCTCTGAACAACATATAATGAACCCAGTGAGTCTTAAACTTTCTCTTGATGCTCCCATTTCCAAAGATGTTGACAGTAAACATGCTTTCGCTTTTGACCAAAGCATCACTTTTCACGTATCTGACTCATCTTGCATTAGTTGGGTGACAGACTTTAAAGGGTGGTCCACGTTGATGAAATGATCTTTAACCAACCCAATTCATGGGTGTCCTTTACTAGCACACTCGTGTTCTCCATAGCCTGCTTCAGTTATTGTTTGACTATTTCCTTTCTTTGATTTATTCTTCATTCTGTTCCTCCTTTACTGATGTGCTGTTACTGATTTGTTAAAGATTGCTCTTATGATAAAGGAGTCTCTTTAGGATCCTTCTTGTATTGAAGCTTAGCTTTTCATTCAATAAAGAATATGACTTTGCAAATTTATTAAGGTATCGAGCCTTACTAACTCGGTCATCAAGAGTTCGAATCTTACCACCCTTAATTTCTCTTTTAATTAATTAAGTATAAGGTAGTGTGAGCCTATGCAAGTTTCAAGCTTAAAGGGCTTTCACTTAAGGAGGTGTGTTATAGAATAATATAAATCATATTATAGGGTCTTACCTAATAGCTTAAGCTTTTAGGTGAGATAGTCCTTTGACATGGTATCGTAGCTAATACTGCTCATACGAGTCCGATCCAATTTTTTTTTCTTTCCGCCTCACGCACAAATCAACCCCCACATACAATGACCTCCATCGTCCGGCAACCTTCGTTCTTAATGCCGATAATACAAACACCAATAACCATGTTGTGCGGTTTAATCCCTCTTCACGAGTTGCCTATTAAATTACAAGGCAGCTCCAATTTTTCTACCTAGAAGATCTAATTAATATCGCTTCTTGATGGCCATGAACTAGTTGGGCATCTTGATAGTTCTACACCTTGCCCAACAAAGACAATCTCTTGCAACAACACCATTGAAATCAACCTAGCGTATTGCCTCCGGGTTCGTCAAAATTGCCTCATTCACCAAGCAATGATGGCCTCTCGTTGATAGTACCATTACATCCATTATTGTCGAGCACATCCAATGCCGAGCAAAGCATGAATCCTTTTACACACCACCTATATCAATAAAAGTCACACCGGATCTATAGCTTATGGGATCGACTTAGTCGCATCACCAAGGAAGACAAGATTGTCTCCGAATATCTTTATCGGATCCATACCATTGTCGACGAGCTTACTACCGCGGGCTCTCTAGTGGTCGAAGTAGAACTAACAATCAAAATTCTCAACGGCCTTGGTCCCGACTTTCGTGAAGTATCGCCGATCATCCATAACTATAGCATTCGATTGAATATCCTAAGCTTTATGAAAAGCTCCTTGACTTTGAAATATTTCTTCGCCATCAAAGATGATAGACTTCATCCCCGATAACAACCGTCATCGCCTACGGGAACAATAACAACATGATACCCAATCGTAACAATCGAAATACCCGTCGTTTTCCCAACAACTACAACGGATCCTCTCTAACATGATATCCCAACAATAGGTACAATCCACCACATCAATGGTGCCCACCCAATCCTCCCACCATCAATAATGGTGTCTAATGTCGATTAGTGCAATTGACCCGATCATGTTGCCTCGGTCCGCCGCACCAAGTCTTATAATCATCTTAAGAATGCACACTTTGTTACTCGGCTATCGAGCATCTGCTACCCCCATGGATTCTAAACACCGGTGCCTCGCATCACATTACCATTGAGCCACATAATATGCCCGAATACAACGGCATTGAGGAAATGGCAATGGGAGATGGCAATAAAATTTCAATTACTCACAATGGTTCAACTCATTTATATGCATCTAAAACCGCTTTTCGACTATCCAAAACTCTATGTGTCCTTCAAATTAAACGTAATTTAATTTCAGTTTTCAATTTTTGTAAAGATAACCTAATGTCTATGGAATTTTTCCTTATTTATTTCTTGTTAAGGACTTGGCAATACGGATATCACCGGTGCACGACCGGAGTAGACATGAGTTATACGAGTGACCTACTCGTTCCTTCACCAACTTTCCCATAAGCTCACATGGCCTCTCAAAATGACTCCCTTGAAACTTAGCATCACGGACTTGGGCATCCTCATGCTAGAGTCTTAAAATTTCTTTTAAATAATTTTTCTATTCTTATTTCCACACGAGACAAATTTCTTTTTTATAGTTCCTATTTATCAAATAAATCTCATCTACAACCATTTGCACTACTTACTTTGTCCAATTCCAAACCTCTTCAAACCATTTTTAGCGATTTTTAAGGACCATCCCTCGTTCTTTCTCTTGACAAAAAATTATATTACTACATATTTGTTAATCAATACACGAAATACACTTAGATCTACACTCTCCAAAACAAAAGCGAGGTCAAAAGAATTTTCCTAAAATTTCATCCTTTAATGGAAAAATATTTTAATTCTCGAATCTTATCTTTTTACACTAACGAATGTTGTGAGTTTCGCAGTCTTAATTCATACCTAAGTTCTAATGGTATAGAACATTTACTTACTCCTCCCTACACTCCACAAAAAGTCGCTACTGCTCGAATGTCATCAATATCACATCATAAAAACAACAAGAACCTTATTATATGAAGCCTCTCTTCCATTTAATCTTTGGTCATTTGCCTAACACCATGTAGTATATCTCATAAATAGTCTACCAACCTCCATTTTAAACAATAATTCTCCTTTTGAAATGTTGTTCCAAGAAAAACCAAATTATCATTCCTTAAAAATCTTTGGGTGCCTTTGCTACCCATTGTTCAAGCCATATTCTCAAAACAAGCTTGAACCGAGATCTACACCTTGTGTTTAATTAGGCTTCTCTCTTATTCACCATTGTCATCAATGCTTTAACCCCTCAAGTCTAAAGTTTGTGAGTTTTGTAGAAACCGTGTTTCCCTTCAAAACTATGTTTTCAAAAATTTCTAATAAATTTAAACATTTAGCATGTGTGATTTGTACCAACTTAACCCACACCGGACCCCACAAATGTTCAATAACCCACCTGCCTAAATACCCAATCTAATTTCGGATCCGCCCAATCCCATTTATGTTGCTCCCACTCCTATTCCAACGTCCTCTTCGTTGCCTTACACCTTGCCATCACTTTCGACCTGGACCAAGTCACTCGTCAACCTCATAGCAGGCTCTAGCCGTTCTTCAACAAGAATCGCACCAGCCTCTGCAGCCTCGCCCATTCCTTCCGCACCGACCTTCTACTAACTCGTTCCCTCCCCGCCACTATTGTCTCGCAACCGCCAACACCTCAAATGCCCTCTTTTCTACCGTCCAACTTAATGCCTCCACCCAACTATCTTTTATGCACCTCATCTCCACCATAACCCAAACCAATCTTAGTCTACTCTAGGCTCCTACCTTTAAATCAACCCCTACTAGCTTTAGCTCTCATCGACCCACCCACTTCACATCATTACCCCCGTCGCACAACCTATAAACCAAAGTGCTCCCAAACCATCATCCTAAGGTGTAGTGACCCATTCACAAAATCAAATTCATAAACCAAATTTTTTTATTACATGACTCAAGTTCAATCTAATGTCAATTCCTAAACCTTTCACCAAGCAAACAAAAAACCGAGTGGCGGGCGGCTATACAAGCAGAGTTTGATGCATTACTAAAGAATCAAGCGTGAAGCTTGTACCACATGTTCCCTCTAACAATGTTGTGGCTTATAAATGGTTTTATAGGATTAAAATGAAGCTAGATGGCACCATTGACTACTACAATGCTCAACTTATAGCAAAGGGCTTCACTCAACGGCCTAGGGTTGACTACCACTCAACGTTCGACTTAATCGTTAAGTCAACAACAATTTGAGTGATTTTATCTCTTGTTGTTCAATACAATTGGCCAATCTGATAGCTTGAAGTCAATAACGTTTTCCTTTAAGGTCTGTCTTGATAAAGAAGTCTATATGAATCAACCTTCAAGCTTTGAAAATCTATTGTATCCTTCTCATATTTGCCAATTGAAGAATGCTATCTATGGTTTGAAACACACCTCATGTGCTCGATATAATGAACTTAAGGCTTTTCTCTTCTTTATGGGGTTCTTCAAATCCGAGTTTGATTGCTCTTTATTCATCAAGCATGCTTCTCCTATCACTATCTATATTCTAGTTTATGTGGATGACATCATCGTCACTGGCTGTGATAACATGGTGGTTCAACAGGTTATCTTGTCACTTGTCAATCGTTTTTCAATTAGAGACCTTGGCAACCTTCATTACTTTCTTGGTGTTGAAATCTTAAGTTATCCAGATTGGCTTTTCCTATCTCAAACTCGCTAAATTACCGATTTTCTTCAAGCTGAAAATATGCAAAATTGTAATCCCACCAAGACACCCATGAACTCCTTTTAGCAAGTATTGTGTTTCGATGGCTCTCCACCTGCAGATACTACCAAATACGAGATAAAGTTATTGGCAAACTTCAATATCTCGGTTTCATAAGGTCAAATATATCATACTTTGTGAATAAGCTCTCATAATTTATGCATGCTCCCTCTAAACTCCATCGGAAAGTCATTAAAAGGGTCCTTCGGTATCTTAAAGGCATTATGAACTATCGTCTCTGTTTCAAAAAAGTGAAGCCTTGAACCCGGTTATGTTCTCCGATGTGGATTAGGCGGGAGATGTTAATGATCGCATATCCGCTACTCGGTTGTCCGTAATTTCTTGGTCAAAATCCAATTAGGTGGTCCTCCAAAAGCGGACAACTATAGCATGATCATCCACCGAGGTCGATTATCGTGTAGTTACTAGTGCTTCTAGCTGAAATAAC